TATGTATTTATGTATATGTCCGCAAAGCAGGTTGGTACGTAGGTAGGCCGTCTTGGCTCGCGCACAGCCGGGAAATCCTGCAGGCTAGCTACCTACCTACCTACGCAGTCGTCGATGACATGGTCGGCACTAGTCCAGATAGACGATAGCACGAACAGGATACCCCTTACCGTTAGGGGCGACTCGACGCGGGCTGAGTATAGGTAGTAATAATACGTGCTACTATAGTATGTATAGGGAGCGTGTGGGATACCGATATATCATATCACATGGTTGGCACTCGAAGTCACGGAAGCACCAATGCAGAGACGCGGGAGCTTGTGTCGTTCTATCGGCCGAGCTAGACTAGACTTGAAAAGGCTCTCCTTGCGGGCCTACAGGGGGGTGTTGCCAAGGTCTCGATCGTGGGCCAGTGTGCGGGGAGCATCTCCGGTGCGTTGTTTTAGGTAGTTCGGGAATACCCGCTTGGTACTGCTTGTTGTTTCTTTCTTTTTCTTCTGTGGGTATTTTGTGCTGCGGCTTGCATGAAGTGGAGGACTAACCCAAACTACCAATTACTATTCTACTGAATAACATGCCCGTGAATTTTCTGGCTTGGTCAGGGGTCCTCGCATAGGGTGTGTTATCACGAAGCTTGGGCCGTTACACAAGTCATTAATAGACAACGACAGCCTCACTCTGGCAGAAGCGGTGTAGGTTTATGCTATCGCTTGGACCTTTGCCTGATATACGCAAACACCGAGTCGAGTAAATGTGCTTATTTCCGGGCTTGTAGAGGCACGCCACACCCGATTTCACCTGAGGCATAACTGGAACAAATCCCGACAAACCCTGGGCTACTGCATACGTTAGTAAGTCAATCTCGGGTATTAGCTGGCTCTATGTAGCAGTGGGAGGGAGGAAGTTTATCAAATAGTGCGGCGGCCTTTTCTACCCGGTAGTCGCGTAGTCTATGGTAAGGCATATTGGCCTAGGAAGAGCCAAGCAATTGTTATTACGTCTCGGGATCCCTGTGAAGCTCAAGCCAAAGTCGGATCGCAGAAAAGCCGAAAACAAGGGACTAAGGTCCTAGTATTTCGGCACGTCGCCCAGGACACGTAAACTTTTGACTCGATCATATCCCAAGGTCGGCCACGGGATTCGCGGCGTCGAGAAAATCACCGGCCTCACTGCCCCTGAAGTCCTTCATGCTCTGGTCTATGTCGAAAGGGCGCGGGCTCCCGACATCGTTGCTGCGAAACTTCAAGCGCTGTATGAACTCAGCCTGCCAAGTCCCGGCCAGTCTGTCTAATGCCGACTGGGCCGTATTGTTCTTTATACCCAATTCGGCGCAAACGCTGGTGACGCCGCGGTCCCCGAGCCCACAAGCCACAATACGGCCCCAAGGGTTTGTTTCCTCGGGCCCGGTGACTGGCGTGCTGTAGTTGATAGCAACGCCGAGGCCCGTGACGTGACGGCGGAGGTGTACGCCGAGGGCGGCAATCTTGCGCTCATCCCCGCCGGGTTTCCCTCCCCGTTCTTCGTTCCGAGATGCACCGGACCGCACCCATACACCCGGGTTGTCGGTTGTGAAACCGACCAGCCCCCACTCCTTTTCCAGCGCCGCGATCGTCGTCTTCTCGAGCAGGCAAGCATAGTCACGCACAGACAGGTGCGCATGCAAGGGGGAGTGCAGATCGATGACGGGCCAGATGACCAGCTGGCCGGGGCCATGATACGTGGTCAATCCACCACGAGGCGCATGGGTTACTGCTGGATTGAAGAAGGCGGCTTCCCGCCGGCTGTGTGCATCAAGGGCGGGCCATTTCTCGCTCTCGCCCGACGGCGGCAGGAAGAGGGGGGCGCGCAGTCGGGCAGCCTCGCTCTCGGGCAAGGGCTCCGTCTGTCGTCGGCCGAGGGTGTACGTCGGCGTCGGCGTGAAGGTAAGGAGGCTCGGCGGCGGTGGCGCGCCGCGGGCAGCCGACGGGCGAGCCTTCCAGGCCAGGAGCTCCTGTTGCAGCGTGGTCTGCACGTGTGAGGCGAAAGCGTAGCTGGGGAATCGCGGCAGAAGGGCGCTGGGGTGTGCCGGCAGCGGGATGTGTCGGAAGCCGACCATGGAGGCGGGCAGGGCAGGCAGGACGCGCTGAGGAGTGGTTGGCTGCGGCACAAGGGACCTAGATAAACGGACGGGAAACAAACGGCTGGCGCTCAGGGTACGAGGCGGGTCGAGTTGGCTGGGCAGACGAGACATGACGAGCGAAGAGGGAGGGCGATCGGAAACAGCGGCATTAGCGCCAAGCCCTCGGCGATTAGCAATTGCCGGATGCGGTAAGTTGCTTGGGAAGGGCAGCAGGGCAGCAGGGTGAGCCGCGAGGTACCTCCCAACTACCTGGGTACCTGCCCGGGTACATGCCTGCCGGTATTCTCGAGCAGGTCAGGTACTTAACCTAGGTTGACAGCATACCTCTAAGGCATCTCTGGTTAGCCGACGTACTTGTACAGCGTGCCACGACAACACCACCTTCGTCGTCGCGCGGCGAGAATCCACCACCACCAGAGCTAGCCGATCGACGATGGGCAGCGAACGTGATGGTCCCATCCCACGAGAATCTCACTGCTCCCTGCGACAGAGCACAAGACCCCGGTATCAGCCGCAGTGCCGGGAACAGTTCGCGCGAACGCGCCGGCGGCGTTGGCGTGGCCTGCGTGCGCTGGACGAATCGACGTCGTCGTCCGCGCCATCGCGTCCGCTCGCCCTTCCACCACAGCACGATTCGAGCACATGACCAGCCCAGCCCGCATGTGTTCGCATGACGTGTGACTCGCCCGCTGTTTCTCACCGCATTAGCCCCGTGTGGCACCCCACGCGCCGCCGCTTCGCGAGACGTGGACTCGGGGCCCTTTTGGTGGCACAGGCGAGTAAGCTGCATGCGCTCACTCCGGCCAGAGACAGCCTCTTTGCAGCCTCTTTGAGCCATCGTCTGCCCCCGTTTGGGCAATCGGTGGAGGATTGCCGTGCCGCTACATGCCGGACAGCCAGGGTCTGGACTGTTCTGCCGGTCCCATGACCGTGGTAACACTCCCGCTCGTGCTACCCTCCTTTCCCCCTTCCTCGTGTTGGGGCGTCTCGGCACCACGACCGCCGCCGCATTAGTGTGTGGTGGATAAGGGTAGCTGACAGGATTCTTATTAGTGGCCGTAGCATGATATGATTCCGAGTCGCGACGTCTTCGTCTTGTTGGCTGTAAGAGTCAATCTTCATTTCTCTACCGACCGCCTCGCAAACACTTTCCTACCTTATGCGACTGCCTTCAGCTGAGAATCTCACATACATGTTCCATCCGAGGCCCGTCGTCGTGCCATCACCAGCTTACGCTAATATGTAATCGACGTCACCACCTCTTATTCGATTCTCCTCTCGCCTGGGCAACTTGACCGCTTGTTGTTTTCGGCATGCCGAAATGAGCACTTCCGGACAGACGTCCCGTGATTGTTTCTCGGGGTCGAGTCGTTGTCAACGTACCAGTAATAGCAATGCGATGGCAGAAGGCCCAACATCTCGGCTTGATAGCGGCCGAGATAGGCGTCAACAAAAGCAATGCCAACGGAACTTAACATATCGAAAACCTGCAGTGAGGCTTACTCGAGACAGTACCGGTTCTAGGGAAGCCCTCAGCAGCCACAATGCAACCCAGACCGTTGAACGCTTGCCCGCAATAATACGGGAGTTAATTCGCCGAGCACTCCTCCACTATTCACACCGGTACTTGATTGTTGTCGCGGGGGATGACTAGAACAGAAAGGGCTCAGTGCTATTGTAAGCCTAGCACCTTAGCCTCGCTTAACAGTATCAGCTAACTTGGTTCTAGACTATTTTGGTGTTCCAGCCTTGGGATCCAGTGCAACGGAATGTGCCTACGTTTACAGGCTCGAACCCAAAGGGATGGTCACGCGCATGCATGTCATGCCGAGTGGCCCGGCGCCATGCGTTGTATTACATGCAATGGCTTTTCTCGATCTCAGGTCCCAGCAACGAGTGCCTATAGTTATATTGCCCTCGGGGGAACCGGAGCCACCGATCCTATCTGTTGTTTCCTTTTCGAAGTACTCGGGTACTTTATTCGGATATTTTAGGCACTGCACGGGCTGCCCGTGATTGGATGTAGCCGCACCACTTACGGTCGAAAGGACAGGGGTCTAAATTGTTTTCGAGATACCAGCAGATCCTAGTTTTCATTGGTGAGTTGATATTGGCACCTTGTGTGGAGAGTCTAGTTCGCCGTGCGAAGTCACCAGTGCGACGTTGCTGCCATTCTCAATTCCTCTCAAGGACGTCGAAAAGGTCTTACCTCACATGTGTCAAGACGCACTAACATACTATATACTCACTGAGACCAATTTCGGTCGTATAGCATCAAAGGTGGCTTCAACTCTAGGGAAAACGAGTTGAGATCGCAACCTACCCTTAAAAATAGTATTGCTTAGAGTATTGTGTATATTGTGTTAAACTTGGGTGCTCAACTGTGATCGAGCCAGCTTAGCATATAGGCTACTATATAAAAATATATACAGATCTGCATCTCGTTCGCAGAACTGGTATCCCATAAGGGGCTTGTATACGAGGAGGGCGTTGTACCGGTATTCTTAATATATATGGCACACTTCCTGATTGTAGCCAGTCTGGGGAGAAGATAATACCCCTCACGGCAGACTTTGTGTCGCGTACGGAGTACTTCATCCCCTCCACAACAACACCATTATCCCAATGCGCTTCCTACAACAATGAGTCTAGCAATAGCTCAGAGCTATCCAGATTACAAAAAAAGTACCCGTCATCCCCTAGCCTCACATGTCCCCAGCAATTCAGCTCAGTATGAGGGTCTATTTCATTTAGCACAGTTTTTCCCATGGTTATTGGTAACAGTATCCGCATTGACTTTCTTACTTTGCGCTTTTGTGATGTCGCGAAAAGAACAGGAGCGAAATTAGAAGCAGAGAAAACACAGATGAGAAAGACATCGGGCCGGTTGGCGTAATGGCAACGCGTCAGTTTCCGGAGACGGAATTTGCTGAAGATTGCGGGTTCGAGTCCCGTGCTGGTCGACTGTTTGATAATCTCTATTTATAAATCACAATCGAAACTTGATTGCTCTTTTTATTAATTCTTTTGGGTTCATATATGGCTTTTATTATAAAAAAAAAAACTTAGTTTTTATTTTTAAATTACTTATAAATTTAATATATAGTAAATATATTAAAAAGTAAACCTTTTGCACTCAAATATTAAGTAAAAAGAATAATTAATACACATATAGTTGAACAGATCACCAAATGTCGCGTATAGTCGTTGATACCAACACGGTATTAACGGCGTCGTTTTTTCCGTGACACCAAATACATAAAATCCAATAGTAAAGAAAACGTGATTTACTCGCCCAATATTCAGCATCGTGAACCGCCAGAAAGAAACAAAGAGTGAACGAAACCAGATGAGAAGAAAACACTCCTTGTTGAACAAATAATCAAAGGCTTCTAAAATCTGTTCAAACCACTCTTTCATGACTCGGTAGGAAATATTCATCATCCATCTTGTCAGTGTCTACTAGACTGGGGGGAACTGTGCCTGCATTCAAATACCAGCTGCACGAAGTGTTCCACGGCTGAAAATGAAGATACCCCATCTCTTGACAACTTTCCTACGATATCGACCTGATGTCTGGCATTCGTAAGGCTTGCGGCATTGTATGTCTTCCGCCCAATCATGACCATAAATGCTTGGGTATTTCATTTCGTACGTCTCCGCACCAAGTCGGGATCGTACTGGTTATAAACTATATAATTCATGAATTGTGAAGTCTCGTCATTTCTCATCATATTCAACAAGTGCTCTCGTCGCCCCCTAAATACTCGACGGCGTCGTAGAAGCGATCCTCCTCAGCACTTGCGTCATCGTCCGTTTCGTCATCAACACTGCACCACACCTGCACAAGGCGCGCAAAGGCGGCTCTCATCTCCGACCCAGGCTGACGCTTATCCAGCAGTTGCTGAGCCGTGAAGCCATCCGCGTCTCGTGCCGCCGCGTCTTGGCCCCTGACACCGACATCAGGGAGACTTCGTATCATTTCCAAGCTCGCGGAGCGTGCCGTATGATGTAGCAGCGTTCGCATTCTCCTGTCGGTATGGGCGGCGTTAGCACCAAGGCGAAGCAACAGGGCTAGAGTCTCGTTCGAGTAGGCCTGGGCGGCGCCGAAGAGCGGCGTCTGCCCAAGAATGTTTGGTGACTCTAGGTTGGCCCCGGCATCGTACAGGCAGCGCACCATGCCCACAGAGCCGTTAAATGCTGCACGCCATAAGGGCGTAGCGCTGGTAGGGATATTGAGTGCTTCGATCTCCGCGCCGGCATCAATCAGCCTGCGGCCGATGGCTACCTGATTCTTCTCGGCCGCCAAATGCAGGCACGACCACCGAAAGTGCGTCGCAACAGCATTAATATCAGCTCTGGCGTGCAAAAGCGAATCGACGCAGTCGACGCCTCCTTCTGCATTGGACAGTATGGCGCGGTGCAGCGCGGTATACCCTTTGATGTCGCTCTCGTTGACTTCGGCGCCGGCATTGACCAGAGCACTGACGGCCGCCACGTCGCCGCGAATGGCGGCGTACATCAGGGGAGTGAATCCGAATCGGCTCTTCGCATTCAACAGATCGACGGCGGGCCCTCGCAGTGCATTTGCCAGACTAATCGGTAGCAGACCGAGGACAATTTTGTGCATGTATGATAATTCAAGTGCTTCGATGCACGAGGAAAGGGGGAATAAGTCTTCCACTGCGCTGTTATAGCTCGGCAAATGTCTTCCTGAAAGAATTATTCGAGAAATCAGTAGCCGAGGAGATATTCCCTGATCATCATCCCGGTCTGGATCAGCTCCATTCTGAAGGAGCAGCTTCATGATTTCAATTTTCTCGGGATTTATACTATTTATTGCAAATTGAAGTGCAGAACGGCCATCACGGTCGTAGACGTCTTGGATGCACCCTTTTTCATCTCGAAGGACTTGTTCCAGAGTCTTTGCGCTTCCCATTTGCGATTCATAGAGGATGTTTCCGGGCTTGAATGGCATTCTTCGTCTCACCACAAGTGTGAACGTGAGCATCCTTGACGTAGAGGCTTCCACGAAGGCATACATTACGTAGTGCAGACACCACCACAATGGGAAGCTGTAGATGACCTGCAATCTCATATACTTTCCTCTTGCACAGGTATCAATGTCGCAACGGGCAGAAGCCGAAGGGTAACCTGTATAGCCGAGAAATAAACACCCAACTGCCGCTCGCAGCATTGGCGGAAACTGTAATGACATGCCCGGCCGCGCTGGCAGATGGCATCTGCATCGACAGCCATACCTACAACTGGATCCACGGAGCCGCATGGAGAAGGAGATCATGGAATCGGAACTGCTGTGGGATGGAGCAGGTTGGATCCTTGGCCCAGTCCGTCTCGTTGCCACCGAGGCGTTGCTTAGAGTAGCGAGTTCACTCAAGATGGCCATCTGAATAATCTGCGTAGCCTCGAACTGCCGTGTCTGCTCCGATTCAATCCGGTTGACTGCCTGGGAAACAGGATGTATGGTGTTATGGATGGTGGAGAGCTGGTCATTGACTTCCTGCTTGTGGCTGGCAGTCTCGACTGCCTGTGCGTGCATTGTATCTTGCAAAGCCTGTATCTCAGAGCTTATCATGGTCTGTTGGCGAGCTATACTAGTGCGGATGGCAACGAGTTCGCCACTGGTTGCCTGAGAGTTGCTGCTGGCGTTCTGCACAGCGACTTGAACTGATGCTTGGGCCTGCTGTATGCCAACCCGAACATCATGAAGCTCGAGTTTGATGCGACTCTCCAAGGAACTGCACCCAGTATGTTATTGAATAAGTAACCGCAATTTGGCATTACTGGCGAGACGCCTGGACGGCGCGTGTATACTCACGGGATGTGGGCAATGAGCAACTCATTAATTCTCTCGCGCACCTCCTTTAGCCTGTCCTTCAAGTTCGCGGCATGCTTTTTCTGCCGGAGCCATCGAAATCTCTTGTTTGCTGGCTTCCCTGGGCTTAGCAGCGCAGTAAGAGCTTCGAGGTCGGCGAGGATAGTCCGAGCATCATTAAGCTGCCCGCGAAGACAATCGAGGAAGCCCGTATCTTGTTGCGAATCACCGAGTCTTTCCACAGCTTGTCGTGACTCGTTCACTCTCTCTAGAATAACACTAATTTCTGCGGTCTCGTTGGACAGCGCTAGTATCAGTGCAGGGGCATTCTTGAACTCTGAGATAAGGCTGCGCAGTTTCAATGAAGTTCTGACAGATACATCGGCCAAACCGGCTGCGGCCGAAAGAATCGAAAATGGTTCAGCCATCATAGACGAAAACCGCTCATTCTCTCAAAAGAGAAGAGTAGCTAGAGCATTTTCACAAAGCCAGGACAGAAAGACAATGCAACAAGCTGGTGTACTGCTACACGACTTATGTGCCAACGAGTTTGAACAAGGCAGAATCAGCAGGGCGCTTTTTGCTGCTAGTAGGCATGCATTTGACGTTGATTGGAAAGTGGCTATGCACGGGATAGGGGGTGTTTTGGAGCATCGCGACCCTTCTATAGGCTGCGGACACATGCTGAGCCCTCCTGCCGTAGTATTTTGAGGCGGGCTCTTCCCAGGGTTGCGTGCTGACCATTCTTTCAACTCCTAATCAAATCGGGCGAGCACTCAAACGATGCAATGGACGACTAAAATTGATGCGACAGATGTGAGGCAGCTGTTGCAACTGGCAGGCCGTTTCTGCTATGCTTTCCAGGCATCGAGCTATCAATCGCTCCTCTCATTGCGCTTTCGAATAAGTCCATGCTTTTGGCCGGGAGGTGTCTACAGCTGAGCAGCCAAATTGCCAGCACTGCCAGCGCCGACTCTTCTTCGCTACTGTGTCTCGATATTTGCCTTGAGCAAACATGGGAGTGCTATAGCTATCGCTATTATGCTAGAGTCTTCCATCCACGACTTGGAGATGATGAGAGCCTTGCTGCGGGTGATAGAGGGGTTTGCTGGAGGCTAAATCACGGTCCAGCCACTTCAATGTTGAACATTACTTGTCCCAGGACACCCTTGACTGATCCGGTCTGCTGCTAATTGTAAGCTGTCTCACATTACGGCAGCCTGCATTATCGCGCACTATTGCCTATATCGTCCTGTTTACCTCACCACGGATTGACTTCCTTAAAAAGGATTGTCTGCTTAATGGCGAATTGCCCTGTAACCAAGGCCGCGCGCCGAAAAGGGTTGCGACGTGCGATGAGGCAGGATGGCTAACTTCGACTGGCCTAGGTATTTCCATTATGGGGGCAGCAGAGTTTATCTCATTGGTGCTATTAAATGCGCCTCTAATTTCGGATCCTAGAACCTCCAGTCCTGGAGGCTTCCATACCGACTCTTCTACATACTAAGTAATAGGTGTTTACAGTAGCATCTATGCTTGGCTAGTAAAGTGTCGGCCGCTATGTGAAGGAGTATGTACTAAGTATGTTGGATTGTTGTTATCTCCGCTTGATATCTTTCGGTGATAGGATCTTTCGACGATTTGGTACTAGACAAGGAAAGGAGGGGGCGGCCGACACATACTAGAGACCTATTATTGCTAGGCTACTATTGACGCTAGAACTAGTTCACTACGATACGGATCTAAAGTATAATCACCCTCAATATAGTACACACCTACGGCCATATTTCCTGTCAGTTATTGAGCTTCTAACAGGGGTATAGACTAAGCAGGTACTCCGTATATCCACCCTACAATCTTGCTAGTCACCTGCTTACAGTCTTGTTTAGCCGGAAATCTAAAGCTGCCTAATACGAGCAGAGTGGAGATTGGTATGCACGCATTGTGCTTAAGGAAATGTTGGTAGACTATTCGTATGTCTGGCCGCGTCTAGAAGCGGAATGTCCATATGCAAAAAGCTCTTCTTAACTATAATGCACACATAAAAGTAATTAAGTGCCGCGTATAAACGGACTGTCTCTGTTGAAGAGGCTAATATTTTGGCCGAGATCAAGCAGCAGCAGCGGA